AAAAAAAAAAAAAAAAAGGAGTTGCAAAAGGGTGCGCGCTGAAAGAGAAATAAAATGTGACTGAAACAGACCAGCTGTTTCGAGGTCGAAAGAAGGCGAAAGGGCAAGTTGGGCAAGTTGGACTGGCTGAGGAGAATGGGAGGCAGGGGATCGATGAAGATTCGGCCCTCTTTATACTTTGAGATTGCCATAGATAGCTGTGTGCTGTATGAAGCGCTTGATGGTGCTGCCCTCACGACTGAATGGGCCACTCTGAGGCGTAGGCACGCGCGGCCGGCCGATCTGCCGAAGTCAGAAGAATCCATCTCGTACATGCTTTCCGCCGAAGAGCCGACAGCAATCGCGCTACTTTAGCTCTGGCGTAGCATTGCGAACTTGCATTCTGAGAGCTTGCGCTGCTCGGGTCGTGTAGAGTGACCGCTTCTCGAGGGTGAAGGAGCCGCTCGAACAGTCAAGTCGTGGTGATGTTTGCAGTGATCATGGGCGCCCCCCTGCATGAAGCGCCTAACGCACCGGATGCTTTGGACATGCACGGGCTGTGTGCCGGGATGGGGTCCTCGAGCACTTGCGTCTCTAAGCAAGCGAAGCGCATGAGTATATGCCCAGATGTGATGGTGTGGGATCACATCTCTCCAGCGAACGTCCCCTCGGGTCACGCGTCCGCGAGGTCGCATCTTTTAGGGATCGAAACGCGCGGGCGCAGGACGCTACTGCTTGCATGAAGAGAACGCCCATGCATGCACGATGGTTGCGCCCCGAGCTGCGCCAACGTGCATGCACTCTCTTCCAGCTGGCCGGCCTGCAATTGCGGGCTCGTCCTTCTTCTGTCTCGAGCATCCGAACGCTGGACGACAGACAAGGCTCGTTCGGGGCGTAAGCGGCCGCAGCTGTGCAGCGGCAAGCTCTTGCGGAATCGATGCCCAAGAAATGTGAGCGGATTCGTTGGTTCGACCCAGAACGCAGAGCCAATTAATCGTGAATGCCAAGGGAATGGCGCGCGCGCATTCTGTCCTCAGCCTGACAGGCATGATAGGCTTCGCAGGCATGCTGGTCTTTCTCTGCTCTTTTCCCCGTCGCTCGTCCCTGCGCTGCGCCCTCCGAGCAGAGCTCGTCGTTCTTGTCGGCTGATGCTGCGACGGATCTCTGCAAACTTTGCGCTTCTAGGCTGTGGGATGTAGAGGAGTGATGCTGGAGATCGACAAGCCCTTGACGGGAGCTGAAGCATATCCTCGCGACATATAAATAGAGTCCCCCAGCTCGACAGGTTGTCAACATTCCTCTCTCTCCTTACTTCGGTCACCGTGCACTTTCTCGCCCAGCGCTTCCCTCTCGTCACACACTCTCTCTCAGCAGCCGGACTGCTAACTTTCCTTACGTCGCCATCCTCAGCCATCCGAGCCGGTCTCCTCTCCCTCCCTGCGTCTTCAGTCTCTTGTGTCTTTGCTCTCCTTCGGAATCTTTCGTATCTCAGCGCTCAGGTAGCACTCGTTCATCTCAGTCAACATGTTCGCCCACAAGTCTATCCTCATCGTCGCCGTCATCGCTGCGGCAACCTCGGTCTTCGCTGCACCGGCTCAGTCGGACTGCGAGTACCAGCCGGATCTCGCATCGGTCGCCTGCCTTCGTGACAACCCAAACCACCGCCGCGATGTTGCAGTCATCTACGACCTCCGCGACATCGACGAGGCAGCCACCTTCTTGCGTCGTGCTGACGCTCTCAAGGTGATGCGTCGAGGTGTCGAGGAGATGCATGAGCGCACCGACGTGGTCACTCTGGCTCAGAACGACAAGGGCTCCTCCATCGGCCAGTCATGGCACGCTGGCTCCGGCAATGGCGGAAACACTGTCGCCCAGGAAGCTTATGAAGGCGACCGAGGCGGTTCCAACATCGGCAGTTCCTGCCACTTCGGCAACGGTCGTAGAGGCATGGTGTGCGACAACAGCGGCGCCAAACCCGGCCGTCGCCGTGCTATCGCCGATGAAGACTTGCCCAACTTGCACGCACGTCTCGGCCGTCAAGACTTTGTCAACAAGATCCTGAGCCGAGCTAATGGCAACCAGATCATCACGGAGAACAGCAACGTGGGCAATGACTGTCACTTTGGCAACACGCGTCGTGAGGCCACAGTCGTCTGCAAAATAGCGGACGGTGAGCACCCAATATGGGGGCAGAACCAGCAGGACACGATCAACATCGGACCCAAGGCTCGTGCTAATATCGACGCTGGCACCGGGCACGACAACACGATGACCAACACAGATGCCAACACCGGCAACGAGTGCCACTATGCAAATCGACGAGATGCCCCGGTCAAGTCAGATGGCCCTAACGGCCCTGTCTTCACCTGCAAACTGGACCACTCGCCCAATTACGGTGGTATGGGAGGCGAGCACACTCTGGTACAAAGACCCGGCCCTTCCGCCAAGCGCAGCGTGCGCCGCGATGTGCCCATCGAGTACGACCTGCGTCGAGCGACCGACGTTGTCAAATTCCACCTGAGGCGTGCCGAGTGGGTCGGTGCTGATCAGACCTGGAAGCGCTCGCAGCCGTGCGACGGTACTCCCGTCGGAGGCAACGGACCCACCGTGACCCAAGTCATCCCTCGTGCTGCGCCAACCAGCGGCTTCTTCGCTCGCAGTGGCTACAACGCGCTCCGACCTCGCTGCGACCCCTTGCCCGTTCAGGGTTCTGGAGCCAAGCAGGTCGTGGTGAAGTACAACGACTGGATCAAGCAGCACCCCGAGTACGCCTAAAAGCCCGGTCGAGCTCGATATGACATATTCTGAAGAGTTCCTTAAGATGCATCCCCAACATTGTCACCCAAATGCCTTGTCCCTTTCCATTTAATGACAAACGATTGACGCGCCGACGCATGGCAGAAGAGGACCACCTCCATCATGATGATGGTCACCATCTCAATCTAGGAAACGTACACACCTCAGAGATCCCCACCTTGATGAGCTAGCCTACCATAGTACTGCGCTTGATCGTGCCAATTCCCTCCCTCCTGTAATGCTGGTACGCCGCTCGATAGGTGTCGCTATTCAAATCATATCATTGCGACCTTCGGGTTTGCCGCATTCACCACATATAGAGCTTGTGATCTGATTGCGATTGATTCCGGGCGCCGTTGAGGTGATGCGAGAGTCGCGGGAGTAGCACGCGCTTTGCGAGCTTCTCGTACCGGTCCACCGCGAATAGCAGCATGCTCCGATTCATCGCTTCTTTCGCGAAGCCAGCGCCATCTCTCGAAGGCGCAGCACGTCAAGAGGTAGCGATGCGGCTGGTGCGCTGGAACTGACTGGACCAGGCTGTTTGGCAGCCGGCTGAGTCTGTTCGCGTGCAATGTTTGCCTCCTGCTCGGTGCTGCCATTCGGCTGTTCTGGCACGCTCGACTTAGGCGAAGTTTCATTCTGGACAGGCGTCACTTCCTTGGCCCTCTGTTCGACAATCTCCCCGGGTTCCGGGCTGCCGTAATCCAGATTCATATAAGCAAATGAGCGCGAAGAGTCCTTGCTCGCCACCTCCGCTTTGGCATGGTCAATATCTTTGTACTTGCGGGTCGGTGCGGCGCTTGCCCGAGCCGTTGTAGCTGTGCCTTTAGGGCCAGTCGGAATCTTTTGAAGCGTCGAATTTGCGCTTTGGCCCTCGGAGATGATCTTCGGAGCATGCGGTAGTGCTGAGGGACGCAGGTCATGGGAAGTACTGACATTTGATGGAATCCGAGCTTCACGCAGAGCGGCACGATGTAGACGCGGGCTTTTGGGAGGTGAGGGAGGGGCCACTTTGGTCTCTGACAGCCGGCTGCTAGATTCTCTGCAACTTTTGTCAGGTGAGACACGCGATGCTTCACTCGCACTGCGTCCCTTCTCGTTATCCTGGCTCTTCTTGCGGTCATAGTAGCGAGAGTAGCGAATGTCGTCCTGTCGATCCTCATTGCGCGGTCGATAAGTCGATGATTCTCGTGGAGATCGCGCTAGCCGGTAGCGATCATCCTCCCACGTACGGCTGGCATACTTGACATCGTAGTCATCCCTGGGACGCGCACCGTCCCTTGCAGAGTATCCTACACTTCTTCGGCGGTCTTCGTATATTGACTTTGAGTGACGCGACGAGCCGCGCTCGTCTAGTGTTGCTTCCCTGCACCCATAGTCGCTACGGTAACGCTCGCTCCTTGTTGGGTCTTCTCTGTCGTGTCGATAGTCTCTCGACGAGTGCCGATCCCTTTCACGCTCTTCCCCTCGGGAACGATGCTCCCTCGGCGACCGATCTTTACTAGCACGACTTGTGTCAACCGATCGTCGTCCGTCTCTCGGAGAGACGGCAGAGCCGGGCTCTGGCGTTGCGCGAGGTGATGTCTGCGTCTGCCTATGTTGTCCGCTGCCCTCGAACAATGGGGCGGTAGCTGCCATCGGCTCTATACAAAGAGCAACTTTGGATGACAGGTGCATGCTAGAAGGAGACAAGTGCAAAGGAGATGCCAACGGAAGTGAAGAGTGTCCCCCAGGGGGCGACAATGCAACTTTGAGCGCTGGAACACTCGTAGTGGGAGCGCTCAGACGTTGTAGTGTAGCTGCGTTTGTCGCATCGGAGATGTCCAGCGCAATAGCGCTAGCTTGTTGAGGGCTGACAGTGTCTAGGGCAGAGGGCAAGCCTGACGCCAGCACCTCGGCATTGTGTATCGTCGTCGCCGCAGGTGCCTGATGCTGCGTTTGCTGTGTATCACCAGCAGTAGCAGCTGTCTGAGAGAACTTTGGTGGCTTCTGTGTTTCTGCATCCTTTTCTTGTTGCAAAGCAACGTCGGTCGCCGCTCGTGCTTGCGCCTGCAACCTTGCCCATTCCTCTTGTGCCCGAAATTCTTCATTTCTTGCGAAATCGTCGGCAACAACGTCCACGTCGTCGTCGGGCACAGTCGCCGCTTCGGTGGTCTCCGGAAGCGGCTCGTCGCTACATGTAGAGTACCATCCATCTGGCCATCCAGAGCTCCACGCCATGTCGTACCACTGGGTGCAGTCGAGCGACTTGACACGAACACCAGGTGGCAATGGCTGCGCAGACGGCAGCGGCGGAGCTCTTCGCGGCGTTTCTGACGAGGTTGTACTGGCCACCGCAGTCGAGATTGACGGTGTCACCGATTGCGATGAGGGTGGCATTCCTGAAGCGTCGGCTGGTGCTACGTCGGCGCTCTCACCCGCGTCAACCGCCGCTCTGAACCTGGCCGAAATGCTGTTAGTGATGGCATGAGAAGCCAGCGGACCTCGCCTGGTGTTGACGCGCCTGCGCAGCATTCTGCGGGCCACTTCCTCAAGGGAGCTCTGTGGGAGCACAGAAGGGCCGGCCACGCTGTTGTCGTCCAGATCTTCCATCTCAACGTCGTCTTCCATGCCGAGCAGACCGCCGCCCGGCGGAAGCTCCAAGGGCGCAGAGGCTTGCGGAGCTGGTTTTGAAGGCAGTTGAGCTAGGACGGAGCTCGTAGTAGACAAATTCCAGCCGGGTGTTTTGAGATTCGAAGACGTGTCTGACGAGGAAGTGGAGGCGTTGGATTCGATTTCACTGACGTCAGAGGAGGAATCTGGATCTTCGCCCGAGGCGCTCTCAGAGTTGGTGGATGAGCTCGACGTCTCGTCGGAGTCAGAGTCACTACTAGAGTCTGACTCTGATTCATCAGAGGTGAGCTCGCTGGACGTAGGCTGCATGTCGCCTGATGTTGCATGCGTTGGCCTGGAGGGGCCAGCTTGCACTTCGATTTCTGTAGGCCTTGGTAGCCCTAGCGCGAGCCTCTTCTGTAAAGCTTCGAATTCCTCCCGCCTTGTCTTGAAAAGCTCCTCGCGCTGCTTCGCGCGACGCTTTGCGTTTTTGGCTTGCGTCTTAGCCTTACCCTCCCCTGGCTTTACCCACGGTCCACCGTTTGGCTTTACAGATGGCTTGGGTTTGCTCGAGTCTTTGCGCGGTACAGGAGTGGTCGCTGAAGATGATGAAGTGAAAGTGTTGGTGCTGTTGGTGCTGCTTGATGCGGAGCTGTCGCTGCCGCTGCTCTCAACCTGGACAGGAAGCGCGGCATCTAAAGGGAGGGCAGCTCCCATCCCAGCTTTTGGCGGCTGCATCTGTGCGAAACGACCTGCTTTGCGTGCATCGAAAGCAAGCATGGCTGCGCCGGTAGTGCCTAGCGAGCGCGCAAGGCCCACCGCGCCAAGACCCAGCGGTGGAAGAGGCATCGTCGTTGTACTTTTCCTGTCCGATGCTGGCTGGTTTCCACGACTTACAGAGGGCTCCATTCTTGGCAAATCATCTATTGACATCGCATCACCTTCTTCCGATCCCTCCTGCCGCTCGAGCTCGTCTTGCGCTTCGGATCGATCATTACCAAATCGTGCTCTGATTCGATCTGCTACGCGCTCCGCAGACTCGAGCAGTTCCTCGTCGGCTTTACTGTGTTGCTCCGACCCTGTTAGATTACCCGACAGATCTACTGACGCATCTGCTTGCTGTTGCAAATGACTGTCCTTGATCGCCTGTCGCTGACTCTTTCGTTGCAGAGCACGTCGTTGCGTCTTGGTCAGGGCAGTGACATCCTTTGCATCGTCCTCCGGCCCAGAACTTTCTTTGACTCGTTTGCTGCCGCTGGAAGTAGCCTGGTCATCGGCTGCTGAGTACACAGCAGCCGCGGAAGAGCGTTGCTGAGCGTCATACTCCCTGTGGCGCTTGGCAGATGAGCGTGCGGCCGAATCCTCAAAGAAGGGTACTGCTAGTGGTGCTGAAGGAGGTGCGAGAGGGACAGGCGTGCCATTCTGTCCAGCAAAGAAGGAACTCTCATCGGCAACACCATCTACGACAAATACGCTGCAAGATTGAGCCAGGCGGAAGCATCAGCCCATGTCGCTCCCAGCATATGACACCTCTTCGACTTGCCACTCACTCAATGGTGTCCCCCTCTCTCAGCACTTGTTGCGGATTGCCAAACACCTCAAAGCCATCGATGGAGAGTCGCAGATTCTGCGGTATGGTTGTGGCATGCACTATTGGAGAAGCAGCCCTGCCATCCACGACCGAGACGGATCTGCTAGCACCAAAGATGGCATTGTGCAGCTCGCGTTGCAGGTCGAGCACGTCAGTGACAGACGGGGATAGAGCGTATAAGAGAGGCCGCGCAGGCAATGGAGGCCTTGGTCGCACCCTCAGTCGCTTCGACATTTCGTGCATCTCGCTGGGTGTTGACTACGCATTGAGATAGTGGCGGAGCGAAAAAAAAGGTTGCCATCACCTGGATGTCGGTCTGCGTCATGAAGGCCGGCGATATCAACTCTACAGGGTTAGTCGACCGAGGGCCCACGCTTTTGTGCGCCACAGGCCGTTTCCAAGGCTTTGGGCTAGGTAATTGGCACGTGGGGGCTGAGAAGGGCCTTACGAGCGCTTTCGTGGTGCTTGTTTGTTGTACGTTGGTAGGACTGGGGCACGCGGTAATTCATTCCTTCATTAGTCCAAGAAAGGAGCACATGTCATGAATAGAAAGAGTCAACAAGCACACTCAACAGCCCTTTAGACGCGAGCCGTGGCGAGGTGTCACCCAGCACCACCTTATTCACCTCACGAGAGTCGACAGATCACGATCGACGAGTCTTTGACGCTTCCTCGCATCTCTGACGCCTCAAAAATCTGCGCTAAGACTTTGCGCAGCCACAACACCTCTCGCGTCCCACTCAACTCGAAAGTCAAAACTCGAGGATGTTGCGTTCACGTGAGAGCCACGGCGGTGGTAAGTAAGCTCTTCTTTCAAATTTCGAGGCAAGACCGTAAATCCGAGGCGAGGAACGGCTTATCGCATGCATCAATCAGGAATTTCGCTGTTAAGAGCCATGTCTATGTAGCGCACCTCGTCGGCTGATACATGGAGACGAGTCAAGTCGGATGCTGGCAGCAAATCGAAGCTGCGTGAGAGCAGCAACTCACAATGTGAATCGTGAGTCGAGTTGAGTGGATGCGCGTGTGCACGGCTATACGGTACGCGGGTGGGCAAGTCCGGCGTCGCGCCCTCTCGTGACTCGCTATTAAGAGCATTGTGATTCACGATTGTGACTCAAATTGCTGCTGGTGTCTTGATTGCGCAATTCCTCACGCGCGCCGCCACACACGCTTAACAGCGAGCGAGTGCGGGCCGAACGCACCGCCGTTGCGTCTGCTCCACTTCTTGACTTCGGGACATGCAGCATGCAGATAGATGGACTGACGTGTCTGTGACTGACCGTTCTTTGCCTTCTCATTGATTCAGATTCACGATTGGTGGCCTCAACGATGAGCTGAGGAAAAGTATAAGAGAGGTTCAGTCACGATCTTGGCGGTTGGTCCTTCAGCTTTGTGATATCAAGTCTCTCTTCTCATGCTCGACCGAATCACAAGAAAGTTCTGGCATCTAAACACCTCCAAGCGCCTCGCTTTGCTGTCCCTATCACTTCTTGTCCTGCTAGCCGCATACAAGATCTCAACACCCGGCTGTACAGACACCTCGTCCGCGTACAAAATGGCAGTCACCTCAGGTGTTCAGCGAGCCCCAGTGCTCTTCATGTCTCATGGTGGACCGCCCACCCTGTTCGACTCTTCTCATCCAGCGCACAAATCCTGGGTCAAGACGGGCTCGGACCTGTCCAAATTGCAACCTCGCCCGAGAGCCATTCTTGCCATCTCCGCTCATTGGGAGTCCGAAGCGCGGTCCAGCGGTGATAAGCCCACAATTCAGGTCAACAGCGATGCAGCCAATTCTCTCATCTATGATTTCTACAATTTGTAAGTAAACGTTTGCAAAGGATTCGGTCTGAGATCCTCCTCGCGCTTCTTGCTGACACATGTAGCATCCATGCCCGAAGTCCAGCACATTACTACGAGCAAAAGTTCCCCTCGAGCAATCCCAGCTGGCTTTCCGACCTAGTTTTGAAACATCTGAACACGACCAGCTTTGCGGGTGAAGGGGTGTCACGGGGACCAGACCACGGAGTGTGGGTGCCCATGCTCGCTGCGTTTCCGAAAGGCCTCACCGGCTCGAACGATATTCCGCTCGTCCAAGTCAGTCTTCCTCGACCGACGGGTAACTCACTCAAAGATGCACAACAAGCTCTTCAGCTAGGTGAAGCTTTGCGTCCCTTGCGCGAACAAGGCATATTGATCTTTGCTGGAGGACAAGCTGTTCACAATCTCGGGGGCTTTAGATTGGTCAGATCTGGCCAGCCGTACGAAAAGCCCACATATGCTGCCGGATTCTTGCAAGCTTTATCAGACGCCATTGTTCCTGCCTCTGGAACAGACAATGCAGCGAAAGAACGTGCCGTTCAGCTGACTCAAAGGCGAGAGTACAAACTGTGCCACCCTACAGACGAGCATTTCTTGCCCCATCTCGTCGCACTCGGCGCCACGTATGATGGAGAAAAGGGCACAGAGTCCCTCAGACTTGACGAGGGCTTCCTTGGCTGGTGAGTGAGCAGCTGATGTCATCTCGCTACACATTGTCGCACTTTTCATCGAATCTCACTTTGATCTTTGTCGGACCTGCGCAGGACGATGTACCGATGGAGTTGGCCATGAGATTCGCGCACATCGACCTGCGCTCGTCAATCTACTTGTGTCTTCCCAAGCACGTTTGCATCGCCATGTACTCTAGTCCCACGCAGCAGACATGAATTCAACCAAGGCGCTGCTCTCGTTGTAGTTTGACCGTGGTTGCTGTGTGTTTGTGATGCGAATCGAAATCTACCGGTCGCCAGCACTTCGAGATCTTTCTGCATGAGCTCTCAAGTTTGCATTGGCATCTTCATCCGTCGTCCAGCTCGTTCGCACGTATCCTCTTCTTTTGACTCGGGATTTGTCTTGCGCCGATCGCTCGATCACCTGCCATGCCATGCAGCTGGCTGCTAAGCAAAAGAACAACAAGTCCCGACGCGTCAGGATGCTTCCGCGCGTTACGCATGCATCCGGTGTCTTCTCCACGCTATGCTCTCGGTATACAGGCACGAGGATTCATGAGTTCATTCAGATTCTTTCTTGGTCTTCCGCTGCAGCAGCGCGGGTCTCTGATTGAACTTTCAAGCCTCCAACACAGGCCGACCCGTCGATGTCGAAGTGAGAGGCCGAATAGAAAAAGGATTGCATCTCGGTCGCGAGCCGGCCTTCGTCACGAAGCTTGGTGTCACATCATAAGCTCGAAGACTGACGACCGCGTGGTCAGGACTCAAGACTCATGAATGCAGTCAGAGTTGATCCAAGAGCGCAAGGAGATTTGATGAGTCTTGACTGCGATCGGCCCTGCGGCGAGGTCTAGCGCAAACACTCACGACTGCACGCAGCTCGGTCAGCTATCTACAGCATTGCCGGTTGCGCATAAGCCGACATTCGAAGCGCCGTGTGCGAGCTGATTCCCATCAAAGTCAGCTTGACACTGCCCTAGCCATGAAGGGAACAATCTGCCATTCCCTTCTCGAAGTCTCGCACTCGATCGAGACGGGCTGTGTGTTGGAGAACGAACCGGATAGGCTGACAGTAATCAGAATCAAGCATGTGGTGCCGGTTGCGAGCGGGCAATCCACAAGAGCGAGTCTATGCAGTTTTCATGCACTCAGGCGTAGCCGCGGAGTCGCGTTCAAAAATAGAATTCGTTGCACATTTTTACAATATATGCATTTTGATGTTCAACATGACGCAAAAATTTCGAAATTGGTGGGACCGTGCATATTTTAGCGCGTTTAGGCACTTTAGCAGTGTTGTAGTGCCAATGTTCAATCTGGAGATGAAAAGTCAAAGCAACATGCCTATTTGTCTAAAATGATGCTTGAAGTTGCTTGGCGTTCAAAAAATCGGGGTTTGAAATGCGCTGCGCGCCCCTTCCATCGCTCATC